AGTGTACGGAGGGAAGAGGCGGAATCGATCAGTACACCTGGGCCCCCACTCGCCGGTGATTGGCTCTGACACTTACGGATGGATGGACAGGCGATTTCAAGTTTTATATGCGAGTCGTGCATGATGTCAGTGTCTTTCCTTTTTTTCTGTTATTATCGACTTGCTACGGCCCTACGGGGGTTGGATCGGTCGGAGGCAGACATGGGACAAACAACCATCATTAGTACCTACAAAGGGCTGAATTCGACATCACAACAATCCGGTGCATGCAGGGGGATAATCTATTAGTCCTTGGGGCATGACACTTGGCCTGTGCGGCAGTTTGCACCCTGACAGGACGAGTATTTCACGGCCCCGCTCATGCGGGATAGGTCATCACATAATAACATTCTTGCTTGCGTTTCGGGCCAAAGCCATTCGTAGTTGTTCATTCGCCGCATCCAACAATTGCGCCGAGTCTGCCAACTCCTCAACGGGGATCTGCGACACCCCTGGACGCGAAAACACATCATGTACCTGGCGCAATGCAGACGCCAAGCGCGTTGAAATCGTCCGCACACCTTCTACAGGTTGTGCTCTGCCGCCCAGTCTCGTAGGACAGCCACTCCCTCCTGGGCCTGCGACGCTCAGATGATCAGAGCGATGCCATACATTGAAAGAAAATCGCTCGCTTGATTCTTTTCCCGTGGGTAATGACACCCGACCGGGTCTCAGCACTGCATCCGGTGTTTCAGGAACTGTGTGAATAATCAGTACCGCGATACTGCCCCGCGTGAGTTCCAAAATCTGAGGTTGTGACCTACCAATTTCATCTCTCTCCGGCAACCCTCGCGATGATCTTGGTGCAAACGGCCTTTCGGGCGTGACATTAAATGTGTAATCGTCTAGGTTCCTCTTTTTGTGTTGCTGTCGTCTCTTGTCGTTCCTCTCTGCATCTGCTTCCCTGCGATTTAGCAGTCGGCGAAAAGGTATAACCTCGACGCAGTCCATGAGAAGTCTATTGTGTGGAGAAGGTTTTGGCGTCGAAGTTGAACGGCGACCCCGTACAATGGGAGAAGGGACACGTGTGGGTAGCACCGAGCGCGAGCGTAAGCCATAGTTGCTCGACGCTGCGGAACGGTGACGCTTGGGTGGTGGCGCGTCTCGCGGTAATAGGTGTTTTTTCATCTCGGTATCTAGAGGTGGACTAGTACGCTCATGCAATTTGTCGCTTTCCTTTGACGATACAGTTACGAAACGCGCTGGACAAGGATAATCTAGAGGATTGGGCAATTCGGAAGATATTGGCCGCGATGATCGTGGGGCTAATCTCTGTTGAGATGAGGCAACCAAAACTGCGTTTGAGATGGCAAACTGGGAGTCTGGGATAACTTCGTGCTGTGGGTTCACAATCAATCTATCTCAGCGAAGATTCCAGGAAGCCAGGCACAAATGGTTACCTCTATTGAGGGTATGTATTCCTCAACAACCTCGCAGACAGTAGGTCCAATTGGTGCCTCGGTCGTCAATATCTGAGTCTGCGTCTGCGAACTCGAACTGAGAGGGCCTATGCCCGAGGGCCACTCTCCACCGTAGGCGCGCACACAAGCATCTAGGCATACGCGCAGCTCATCGTTGTACGCGTCGGATGGGGCAGAAAGACGGGCATGTACTGCGTAGAAGAAACGTCGAAATGCAGCTGGGCCCAGCGCTGGCGGAGGAATCCGCGAAAATGCTGCGGTCAGGAGCGGAACAAAGGCATTAAGACGCGTGACGGATAGTGGAAGCGATTGTAAACGTATAAGAAGAGAATCGTAGAGAGGCATGACCTGTGAGAGAAATAGAGATAGTCTGAGTGAGGGACATGGAGATGAAAATAAAAGGTCGCAGACAAGGTCGTTGTACTGTTCCTCCGACAGAGACATCTCCTTGTCTTCTATCCAAACAGCCAGTCCCGTCTGTACAGCGAGGACAACTGGCTCCAGCAAGGAGACGGGCATGGTTATAATCGCATGATGAAAGACCATCATAAACTCGCCAGCTGCATCAACCATGCTTGGCTGAGGTGGATACGAGACAGTGACGGTCATATGAAGATAAGATAACGTTTCCTTCGAGAAAGAATCTACTTTGTCGAGGTTGAGGTGCCGGAGAATGGCCCGAGCGATGCGCAACGCAGCATTAATCGAAAAGCTACATAAAAGTCCACGTCAGTGAGTACAGAAATTGCACCGCTGCCGTACCTTCGTCCAATTTCCGGACATTTACTAGTGATGTCGTCGATAATGCCCATTGCCTCAGCCGAGGTGGCCACAGCCGAAAGGGTCCACTCGAGCGCTTGTTCCCAAATATCAAGGTCATCCTCTGACATGCTCCACGAACTAGCATATGTTATGGGTGAGAACGGTAGAGAGCGAGAGTCATAACCGCTGACCCGATAGGAAATAGCAGGACTGAGATGGAATTCTCCCGGCTGCTCCGCTTTGAACCATCACAGTTCGTTGCAATCACACGCCAGAGGTGTTTCTTGATTTCTAGGGCACTTTGTGTGTCATCATGATGCGATATAAACTCAAGCAGGTTCGGAATTCCAATGGCGATCAGAGCCGAGCAAAGTAGACTCCAACTTGTAAGGACCTCACGATCGGAAAGATAGAATGATCGCTGTAGAATAGACACCAGGAAAGAAGAAGCGATGCGAATCAGTGAGGGTTGTGAAACGATGTTCTGGACGACAGTCCAGAGCTGATTCGCTACCACGAGTGATTGTAGTTGAATTTCGATCGAATATGGCTCTCCAGAGAGAGGAACACAGGATTCTGGGAGGAAGTGAGACAGTAGAGAGGACAGCTGTAGGTCAAAGTCTGTGGAGGCGGGGGACCGATCATTTCCCTGAATTGGCTGGGCTTGTGCTCGTAAGAGAGTTTGCCACATAGGGATGGCCGTGGTCTGCACCGATATTGTGATGAAGAGATCGTCGAAGAATAACAGGCCGGCACGCACCGTCAGATCGGCATCACCGTACTCGAGACAATTTCTGACCACCAAAACAAAGCAGGATGATATTGGGCACCAATGCATCAGAATCTCTTCCTGGGACAGACTCCGCGGCGAGGTGATCGTTGTCCCCACCATTTCCTTGATTTGAAGCCTATCAGCATGAAGGAGAGATCCGTCAAAGAGGAACGGAGACAGCAGGGTATCAGCGGCCCAACTAGGTTGAATGTCAGCAGTGGTTTCAACTGCACGCATGAGGCATCGAAGTATACGGTACGCATCGCCTCGAATGTCTTGGTACTTGCTGGACAGCATGTCATGAATGATGTCGATCACACAACGGATGGACCATCTCTGGGCACCATTGTTCCGTAAGTCCGTGGAGGTCATTTCTAGCAGTGAGACGATCAAAGCTGCACCGAGGCCAGCGTGCAAAGCCTGCTTAAGTACCAGAACGCAACGCTGGATGATGTCTATGTCCCCATTCGCAGCCGAACGTTGCATAAAAAGTTGGGTCATGGACCAGATGAAAGTGCGCCAAACGTGTGGGTTGAGATCACGTCCCGGCTGATGTCTCAAAGCCTTCTGTGCGGTGTTCATGACGAGCTTGAGAGGCCCTTGATGCAAGAAAAGTGAAGGTCCGAGAAGGACGGTAAAGCTTGCCACGATGGTCAACGCCCAAGGCGAATTCTTGCCCATACCGCCGAAATCCTTCGATGACACAACTGTATCAAGTAAGGGGGGAAGCTTTCGTGATGATGTGGGATGGCGGGTGGTTTCTGGCGTGAGGAATGAATGGGTATGAGAACATATGGTTTCTACTGTACTCTCGCCGACGAGTGTCCGATACGTAATAAGCGTGTGGGAAAACGTCGCAAGGACAACGGCTGTGTGGTGGCGAAGCTCTGAGGAAGGGTGCATGACAAGTGGAAAGACAGAAGGGAGTAGACCAGCTAGAGGTGCTACAAAAATGTGTCGATGGAATGTTAATAAGTTAACAATACACTTAGAACCGCGAATCAGTACTGTAATCGACTGCAGAGATTTTTCGACTCACGATAAGTGCGTCCACTACTATTACAGCAACGTAAGTATCTCTGACTGTGGCCTCGAGAATAAGCTCAAGGGATAAAATAAGGTCTTCTATGCGAGGAAGCAGAACATCTTTCGGGAGTCTTTGGGTCCGGATTATCCATGTCAAAAGTGTTGTGGTCTTGGATGCACTGGGGGATACAAGTCGTGGATGAGAGATGATGAAGGTAACATCTCCCAGGAGAAGACCAAGGTCTTGCACTGGTTGAATCATGAGAACGTGGTTCCGTTCTAATAAAGGAGGCACGTACTTGTGAACACTGATGACAGGGCCGGAAGCCTAAATATCTCTGACAACAGACGAAGGGCGTAGTGACATAGAGTTGAAAAAGCTTCCGCATGATCCGTGTTGTACATCGCCAGCTCCCAGCTCACGGTTACCGCGGTGGTACCAGGGGACCGGGGAGATAGATTGCTGGATGGATGCCATGCCGAAATAGGCACAGCTCGCAGGATATCTCTTCGCAAGGCTGTTACGACATCTGCGTCTCTATCTCTGAGCAGTTCTAGAGCCGGAAAGGAGTCTGACATAACAGACAGGTGACGAGACGATTGCCTGATTCTCATAGAAAGGGTGCGATAAGCTTCTGTGATGTCATGAAGCGAAAGATGACCAGAGGTGAGTGCTTGATGTGAACAAACAATGGTTTCAATGGGCCCAAGGAGGTATTCGGGATTGTACAAAGGATTGTTATCGGTGAGAGAAATGGACATGGGCGAAAATAGTGTAGCGTTTAGTGAGGTTCTGAGTACTAGTTTGACATCAGTAGGGGTTTGTGGTTCCGAACAATAGGACTGGGACTAACTGAGGATGCATACATGCGGGAATGCCAGATAGAAAATGAACGCGCACATCACATGATCGTCCACCTTCTTGGAAAATGGGCCTGGTCCGAGCGCATGATAAGCCACGAAGATGTTATTACTTGTGTGGTCTTGTAGTGTAGTGGTTATCACTCGGGATTTTGACAAGGACCAGTTTGGCTGGTATGATAGGATTTCCCGAAACCCAGGTTCGAACCCTGGCAAGACCTGAATTCAACCTTGTTTTTTATATTTCGCTCCTACAAAGGATGACGCTTGTGCCCCGGAATATCGCGCAATGCAGAAAGTGGTGTTATCCTATTTGCGATGCAGACCGAGTTGGAACGTCGAACCGAGGGGGTTTGCAGGACTGTGATAGCCTTCCGAAAACCGGAATACCTATGCTATGATGAAGACCCAATTGTTGTGGTCTTTGCGTAATTGTACGGCAATCATTAGCAATCATTATTAAAGTAGACGACCGACAGTCGGGAATCACAGCATTGCGCTTGCCAAAATGGACCGCGATATTGGCATAGAGGCCGACGTAACAGCCCGAGAGCTCCCACTGCGCGTTCTTTGAAACAATTCTGAAACACACCCCTCGGTCTCCTGATTTTGAAAAAAGACACAATGCCGTACTCTGGTCCTGCTCAAGTTACGGGCCGGGACGAATGAATGGTCAGGTGCATCATCGCTTTTCTTTCATTTCATAATTGCTGTGCGAATAGAGGGGCTAAAGAGAATCTAGTACTACAATAAAACGTAGAGCGAAATATGGTCGATGCGAAATCGTACTAGTAGAAGTCTCATCAAAGCGTCCGTTACAGAACACAGTACAGGTTTTCAATCGTAATGTCCAGAGTACATACAGTCGTAGTCGCGTCAGGAAATCGTCTCGTTAGGTGGTGATTTGGAATTGAGGGCTGATATTACCCGAACTGCCGATGACTGCCAGCCCAATAAGCGTCAACAGTCGGACACAGAAGAGGTGCAGGATACGCACGAGCAACGATATAGTTGGTGTTTGGCTGGACATTCGGGACTTGGAAGGTGACTTGTCCATCATCCAAGAGAAAGCCATTTGCCAGGGGATGATCTGAACGAACATAGAGAGGTATATAAGCGGGTTGAAGACACGCATGTCGAGCCAGCCAACTGACCGACGTCTAAGTTCTCCCCTCCTTGCCCATCTGGCTCCAGATGCCCTAGGAGAAGAACCCCATTCGGGTTCGTGACGTCCGCTGGGCGTGTTGACATGTCCCTGCAAGACAAACGAGTGGTCACGTGTAGGAGCTGTTGAGGCACGCCCATTCGGACTTACCAGGTCGCCGTCACGTTCGTACCTATCGTCCAAACGGTCGTCGAGTCTGGCTGGGTGATCGGCGGGGCCCACACGTCTCTTTCCCAGATGCGTAAGGGGATGGGAGTGGGAGCGGCAGATACGCCGAGGATCATAAAGAGGAGCGTAGCGGAGAAATTGGGGATCATCATGACAGAGGCGGCGCGACGTGAGGATAGCAGCTGATTATGAAGCAAGGTGTGGCGAAGGCAAAGGGGCGCAGCCCAAGGGAAAATTCACAACAAAGGGTGGGATGAGGACAGAGCGAAGGACGGTTAGCACCTCCTTAAATACGTGGCAGGGCACAGCAAAAAGCAAGCGCCAATTACTCAATTGACCATGATGACTCAATTCCGATCGACCTCAATGGAGCTGCCCTCTCTCGGACTCGGCACAGACGGGTGGCGCTGGCGCTGACGCAGCTCGATGGGCCCGGTTGGTCCATCGCGCGGTCGAACTTGTTACCACCGCGCTGTGCCGCACCGCATCAATGAGATTCCGGATGTCGGGGGACTCCTGAACCCGCGACCGCCACACAACCGCCATACCAGGTCCAGATTCCCCTTGGCAAAGCTGGGCTGGCTCTGTGTCATTGCAGGGTCTCGTCAATCCTTGCCCTCGAACACCCTTAGCCCATCGGCTACACCGCTGCCAACACTTTCCCCCAACCTAGGCCCATGCGACCGCCGGCACTACGGAGAATTCAGAATCTCTGCCTCCAACTCCCCCCTTCCAAAGGAACCTCATGATGATAACCTGGAACCGCAGAAAAGCCCCGAAAGGGGCAATACGAGTCCTCCAGATATATCTCTGCAGTGAGGTGAGGCGGTCCATCTTGCATGGATGAGATGCAAACAAGTCATCCAAGACCACTCCCGCCCTGAGCGTGAGGTCCACACCAGGCGGTTCTGTGCCATCAACACGAGGCCTTCTAATGATGAAACCACTAATTACACGGGATAAAGGGGCCCTTAAGACGGTAAGGGGCACCTGGGAACAGGTCCTCCAGAACACCAAATAGATCTCCCAAACAACTGATCTTCAATAGGTTTAAGTCTTGTCCCTCTGAATACATACCCTGAGTTCTACACTGTCCCCACAGCCCGGGACGTGTGCAAGTGCATTTACCTCACGCCCGCAGCTACAGCACATCAGATAAGGGCAAATATTCCTACTATTTTGAGCAGTTTGCAAACCTTAGCTACTAAGAATAAAACGTTATCCAAGATTGGAAAAAAAAAAATGAGGGATTCCGGATGGGTCATTCTGCACAGCAGCAAACACTCAGCAAACCAGGCCAGCCCTTGTGGAGCTCGTGGAGACAGCAACATCACGCGGACGTCTGTAATCGGAAGGCCGTCCCGATTGACAGATCATCTGAACTCCGTCACCATCGTGTTCACAACTGGCGACATTCAATTGAGCCAACAACTCAGTGTGACGGTACGGCTCATGGAACGCACGCTCGCCCAACAGGTTTTGGCTAGCTATGATTATGCAAGTAGTAGATATGGAATTGTCATTTACTTCTTCCTTGGATGAGGGGCGGGGACAAGGGGATGAGGCAGCTCGCTGTGAGTAAGGCGACATGGAGACAAGTTCTGCGACTAAACGAGCAAAAGACGAGCGACTGAGAAGACGATGGGGATGCTAATGCGGATCAAACCAACAGATATCAAGGTGACAATGATACAAACAGAGATAGAAAAACGTTTAGTCCTTACTCACATTCAGCGCCTGCATGCTTTCTTCGAGCGCTGTTGTGCCACTACATCCTTTATGGCGGTCGTGGGTCTTTGCATTGTCAGGGAGTCAAAAGGGTCGGAGGAGAGGAATAGCACGCACCTTCACCTCCGGCTCAATGTCGACGACGCTTACAATCGCATTCCCTTCGAGAACACGTCGAGCCTTGTCGGCGTCCCAGGTTGGTGCACCAGCTTTGGAAGTTGGTTCATTCGATGGCGAGTGTGCAGTGAAGGCTTGACAGAATGCGCTACTCAAGCGCTGAAGGAGCGTGTGCGAGGCCAGGGTCGCAAGGACGGCCTCTTGTGGCGTGGGTATATCCTTCGAGGAAATGAATGGAGTCCAAGGGTCGAGTTCCGGTGATGAAGATGGCGAAGGATAGGTAGACAGGTGCTTTCCGCTAAGAAGAGAATGTGGAAAGGATAAAGGATCATGCGGAGACATGAAGTTATTTGGCTGCTGATGAGATTGCCGCGGTAAGTGTTGGGCAATACGGGTCCAGAATTGCATCCGATATCTACAAATCAGTCAGCGGAAAGCTTAATAAGAAGGGATAGCGCTCACGGATCGAGCATCTTCATTGTGAATGAATTCGCTTCAGTATAGGAATCGAATGGTATTGGCTTGGGAAGAGTTCCAAAGGCATTGTTGGATAAGCCAGACTTGCCAGCATTGAGTAAAGGATTAATGTTCTCCTGGAGCATAAGACTATGTTCGCGCGCCCCGGCCAGCGGTTTAACGCTAGCGAGTGGTTGTGCAAAGTTCTCGGGAATGAGTGTCGTGTGGACGGGTGTGACGCCACCGAAGGAGGTACTTCCGCCCCAAAACGCTTTGACTGCTGGACCGGAAAGCCGAGGAGACGATGGGAGATCCTTTTGTGTGTTCGGGGTGACAAGAGAGGAGCCCGTGGTAGGGCGAGTAACCTGGCTGGAGGGTATGGGACCGGGTGGAAGGAGTGCCGGGGAGTCGGCCCGGCCTGCGCAAGCCAAGAGAGCTTTCTTGAGGGCACTGATTTCCTGCTTCAACGCTGCGTTCTCCGACTGACTGGAACCGAGCTCGGTGCGGATGGCATCAATGAGGCGATCGCGTTCTGCAATATCCCCTTCGAGCGTCGTTATATACTCTGGGTATCGTTCCGTCAGTGTTGGTGGTCACAAGGGATGATCATCTCACCCTTGCGACGCACTCGGAAGTTACGAGCGCTGATTTTGTTGCGAAGTTGACGCTTTTCTTTGCTGGACATTTTCTTGTATTCTTCAGGGGAAGGACGCCAATCATCGCTGTCTTCCCTTGGGTCGCCTGTATCCCTCACGACTGCTGATATCGTTGTCTTCTTCTGAACACCCCCAGACTGGACAGTACCCTTCCGGGACTTGCCTTTGCCACCGACCTTGACTGGTGAGGGTGTGACAGCGTCCTCTTCCCCATCCTCGTCCTCGTGTCCGTTCTCCGCTATATCCTTCGCTTCACCAAAGTCAGGCGCTTCTGGTGGCACTGAGCTTGACATGAGCTGCGGATCGATGGCGAAGGAAGGGGAAAGAACGCTTCCTGTGTTCGCATTTCCAGAGTCGGGGCTGTCCGTCGGAAGGGCGAGGAAATCCCAAGGAACGCCGGGGACATGTGGGAGTGCGGATTGGTCGGTCTTAACAAAGTCATCCTCGAGAGAAAAGTTGAACCAGTCGGAAGGATTTGGTTCGGATACGATAGGTAGAGGGGAGAAGAGTGGGGTGGACAGAGAAGGAGAGGGCTCACGAGACCCGGAGGTGGTGGAGCTTTGAGTGGTGAACAAGTCCATGTTCACAAAGTCGGAAAGATCGGTGGGGTTGAGGGTGAGGGGGGACTGATGGAGGGTGTTTCCCACCAGCATGATGGAAAGGGAATCGGAGTGCGTTGTCGTTGCGGGGGCGGGAATGAACCGATGGCAGACGGGGTGAGAAAGATGACTTTAGGAAGGCCATGGTTTCCCTCCCTCTTACATAACCTCCATAGCCGCCTTGACTCGTCACTCGGTCGGACATTCCTTCTCCTTCCGAGCCCTTCTCTCCTTCATCCCCGGAGTGTCCTTCGAGTTGTTATGCACTTCGTAATTCCAATCCCGAGTGTCTACGCGAGCGGTAAGATCGATAAACTTCAGCAACGTGTTTG